CGTCACAGGCCCCCGGGGGTTCCCCCCTTCAGCCGTTCCCCCTTGTTGGCCCCTCAGAAGAGCAATAGCCCACATGTGCTAGCTGCTAGCTGCTAGCTCGCTTAAACCTGCGGGTTCAGGTTGACAGGCGCAGCAATGAAGTAAGCTCGTCAGTTTTGCAAGCTTTGCGCTTCTTCCTATGTCTATACATGTATGTATATATATATATATAGAGAGAGAGAGAGTAACTATATAGTTATATAGCTATCTATAATATCTGTTTATCCATCTATCTATCTATCTATCTATCTATTGTCTGTCTGTCTGTCTATCTATCTATCTATCTATCTATCTGCATAGGATGCCGCGCCGAGGTTCCGAACCATCCTGCACGAAGGAGAGATCGACAAGCGCTGGGCTCAGAGCAGCGTCCATGGTATCATAGGGGCCTTATTAATTGGAATAGGGCTTGGGGTATAGGGTTTACGGTTTAGGGTTTAGGGGTATATTATACTATAATTAGAACAAGGAACCCCCAAAACCCTATTCTAATTATCAAGGCCCCTACATTATCAGTCTTCACCTCGCCGCCCCCGTGCTCCAAAGACTGTGGATTCGCATTCGGGGATCTTGGTTCTTCATGTGAACCAGGGTTTAGGGTTTTGGATTTAGGGTTTAGGATTTGGGGTTTAGGGTCTAGGATTTGGGGTTTAGGCACTAGACTTTGTTTGGGGTTTAGGGTTTAGGGAAGAGGCGAATTTTTTTGTTCAGGGCCCTTTGGTTTCTTCGGCTTTGGAACAGTTGAAAGCAGCTTTGGAGACAGGAGGCGTGAGACAAGCATAGCCGAAAGCGAGGCTTGAGCCCAAAAAGGAGGCGGTTCAGGGCAGTTCAGTGGTTGCGCTGCCCTAAACCCTAAACCCTATAAACCCTAAACCCTAAGCCCTTAACCGATTGCTTCTTCGTTCAATTCTTTGCTGGAGCTCACGGATTCGGATGTTGACTATGGAGTTCAGAGCTTTCTGGATCTTCCCGCTTTTCGTGTGGACTTGAGGGTGTAGGGTATACTTTGCTTTAGGTCAGACTGGGGCATTCCCTTCCGCGCATGAACCCGAAACCCTATAAAAGCTAAGCCCTCCAGACCTAAGGCGCGTGCAGTACGTCATCGAGGGCCTCTATGAAACGCGGAGGAAGAGGTTCTCAGATCACCCGATGGCTGCTTGGTGGAGTTGGCCATGTGCGCAGATTCTTTCGGGTTTACACCCTAAACCCGTAAACCCCTAAACCCTAGTTTCGGGCTTATTGACTCTCAAGCCTCTGAGCTCGGCATGATAATCCCTAACATCTCAACCCCTATAACCCCTAAACCCCTAACCCCTAAGGCCTATACTCCTTCATCCCTGTTCCATAAAACTCTCCTATAACCCCTTAGCACCCTAAAGAACTCTTCAGGCCCTTAAACCCTATACCTCAAAAGATGAGTCCCCTGAGCCCTCAACCCCCCTGAACCCAGTGATCCGGTTGATGACATAAATCCTGCATTACCCAGAACAAGGACTAGACCATCATTCCCATAGTTGAGGGTCCTTAAGGTAACGCAGGAATTCGGTCATCAACAGTACGTCCCCAAACCCTAGACCTTAAACCCCGAATCAGCCTAATTAAGTTCCGAAGTTCCTAAACCCTAAGCGCTAGAAACCCAAAGGATTTATATCTTCGAGCCTTCAACAGTCCCTCATCATAGGTTATGGAAGAGCTCGACCTCGTCGAAGACGAAGACCAGATCACCCACGAGGCTGGCAGCGGTTCTGTAGGGTTTGGGTTTTTAGAGTTTTTTTTGGAGTTAGGGTATAATAGATTAGGATTTAGGATTTGGGGTTTAGGTTGGTTACTGCCCCCATACAGTACTATCATACTAACCGTCTATAATAGAGCTACTATTAAGGGCCTTATATATCCATATCATGAAAACTACTAAGCTGCTACTGAGTGGGGACATCATCCGAGGTTTAGGATCGGGACTTTTGGGGCAAAAATGTGAGGCGAAAGGACCGTCTGAGTTCCATGTTCTGGCGGGTGTAGGGCACGATCTGCCAACTGGAAACTCTTGCTAGTTGGGTTTAGCCTGCAACCCCAAACCCTACGAAACAGTAGGAATCATAGGGCCTCACCCTTAAAGCGGGAGGTATTTAAAGATTCCCAGGAAGGGGCTAGAACTTAGCAGTTCGATTTGTGTGGTCGGCCCTGTCGGTCGCTTCATAAGTCAAAAATCCGAGTTGTTCTTTCGCGAGGATTGCCGGGGCTCACCCTGAACCCTACCCCAATTACACCCTGATCGCTACTCCCTAAACGCTTCAACCTTAAACCTCCAAACCCTTCACCTTTAAGCCCTAACCCCCAAAGTCCTAAACCCTAAAACCCTCAAGCCCTCAAACCTATAGACCCTAACCCGTAAGCCCGGAACCTTGAACCCAAGCTTCGCCGGAAGTTTGGAGGCTGGAGGCTTAGGCACACGAGCTCAAGCTCATCTTCACAGAGACCCTATGGCCCTATGGCCCTTGGTGGGGTTTAGGGTTCAGGATCTATTTCGGGTTTTGGGGTTTAGGGGTTTAAGGTTCAGGGTTTATTTAGGGTTTGGGGTTTAGGGGTTTAGGGTTTAGGGGTTTAGGGTTTAGGGTTTATGGGTTTAGGGTTTTGAGGTTTAGGGTTTATTTAGGGTATAGGGTTTTGGGGTTTAGGGGTTTAGGCTAGGTTTAGGATTTAGAGTTTAGCTAAGGGCTAGTTGGGGGGTTGACCGGCGAGTAAGAGTCGACGTGATGTGACCTTCAGACGTAAGCTCGGGTGGCAGGTCCTACTGAGAAATCCTCTCTAGATCTAGGACATTTTCAGGTG